TGATATTGATTTTCTCATCAAATCATTATTTGTCCTATACGGATAGTTTTGTATCTACTATTGCACTACGTCCTCTGCGCTCTTCATCCAATTTGGGGCAATTTCCTCTCGATATGCCATGGATTATCTCTCTCCCCGGGCGGCTCGTGTGCGGAGCTTTCCACGGCGGGCTTTCTAGCAACCTTGCTGGATCATGAGATTGGCTAAGCGAAACACTCGCAGCCAATTGAAAAACCCAGAACTCCGCACAACAGCTCCGCAGCCAGATGGAGTGGCGTTCAGCGTGGATACCGACTGGCGGCTCCCCTTTCTCTTCGACTTTATCGCCGGCGAAGTCATTTTAGGCAGCTTTTCCACGCCACAGAAGCACACTGAAATGGCAATAAAAGCACTTCTTTAATATTCATGCCAGTCATCTTTTATAGGCATCTGCTTGAGGAATTAATCCTCTGATCATTGGTAGAGCGGCGATTTGAGGAGAGATTTTCCTGTATATTGGGTGCTATTCTCGATAGACTCTTCACATTGTGTTGATTTTGTATTCTTGCAGAGGCAAAAGCAATAAAAGCGATAAGATATGTTATTTTATAACACTATCAAATCTCTTTTTCACACATTATTATTCACATTTTAAATTGTTTAAATTTTCCCTTAGCTAAACATAAAAGACCTCTCTTCTTCCGATTATGCTATTTAGCCAGAATATTCCCCACAATCACTAATCACGAATCTCTTCCTCTCACTTTGTTCGTTATAAGCTTTTTTCACGCAATTCTCGCCATTTTTTGCCCCCCATAAAACCACCAGAGGAAGTATCCGCACAAGTGGCTGTAAAATAAACAGATTAGACGACTCGAATGGCAGGGGAAAATCACGCGTGAAACCCTGAAAAGTGTAAAAATCGCGGGACCTTCTCACCAGTTGTTTATCGATTTAGTGGCTGGGCTCCAGCACAAAAAAAGGCACAAACAGCGTGACGTGAAAAATGGGTCATGAAGAAATTGAGGACAAATTGGAACTATCACCGCACAAATTGTGTGGTGTATTTTCCGAAAGGCAAACAACACATTTATCTGAGGCGCAGTGTGCTTTCCATTAGCTGAGGGCCCTCGCGCTGCGCTTCGGGAGATCTTGAGCACTCAAGTCCGCGCGCCACAATTGAAAAGTGACCAGCTATTCAGATGACGAGATGCTGATGAAAAAGTATAGCGACCCAAATAGAAGACGTCATTATTCCAGCACGAGGTCAAGGTTGACGAGTGAGCGCAAGCGTAGGTCGCCCCCATCGTAAAGCTCTCTTTGCGACGACATTGCAACTAATATCGAGATACTTTATGGATTCTATTAAGAATGAAGTCGTGCGCACATTGTCACACAATTCACCAGCCCCAGAGCGAAATAATTGGATGGCAGTGGCATTTTCTCAGGCACACAGCACAATATTTTCTCCCTCATCATCGTGAGCGCGATGAGCGCTATAAATTGCCTATTGGATTTCCTTGGATCCAGATCCAACATCACTCCACTGTTTACATACACTTTCTTGTCTCTGCCTCTAATTGCTCAATCACTCTCCCGCTCCTCAGATTCTTTCAACACACCCACGATTGGGAGCAGATTAGCCCTCCTCCCTCCAAAAACCATCCATTTCACTCTCTATCTACGCAGATAAATTGTGCAATATCATTTTAATTCATGCACTCTCGCGTCAACATTCACTCAATAATCCCCACATCCTCTAACTGGCGCAGCCTTGCTTCTCTGCGCTGGGAAAAATTTATCACACGCGCTGGTTTTAATTAAAACAAAAGCCTTTATTAATTTTCGACAGTGAAAAAACCATATGGCCCTTTAGGGCAGCGGCGCTTTGCCAAGAAGCCACGGATATTGCAACGGAGTGAAGCAGAAGAATAGTAGAGAGCCTAGGGAACTGTTGTTTAACTCTCATTCAGGGGGAAAAGTCGCTTTATTTTACTTGAATTCTTAATCCAAATGACAGCCCTGCAATAATTGCAAGTTGTTTCGGAAATCGCGTCTAGATAAACACATTCAAAATTCACTTCGCCAGAAAATATTCATGCAATTCCAATTGGTGTGGTCAACTTGAGAATCCCATCTCGTGCAGAGCATTGAAGCCTTTCCGCGTGCGGTGCTTTTATGTAACACACGACGCTATGCTTCTTATCTCCCAACCCAGAAACTCCACAAAATTCTCTCCTCGTCAATCGATAGCGGGTTTTATCTTTTGGGGGGCGTTCTATCACTTAAATTTCTCAAGGGACTCATCAAATAAATCTTTTCATCGGCCTCGCTTGAGGCGCATTAAATGAGAAATTACCACGAAAACCTTGAGAAATTTCCAAGATTCTGTCCGCACACTCTAGCCAGCATCTTCTTGCGACGCCTGTGTGCCTTTTTTAGGTCACGACACGACACTAGCGGATGACAAAATTACTCTTTTCCTCTCAAAAAATCCTTCATAAAGCGTGTCTGTGTGACTCCAAAAAGTCGCGATATTGATTGATATGCATTTCGCTTGTTCTTCTCTACCTTTTCGACAGGCAGATGGTTTCACTTCTCTTCTTCTCCGCGTTTCGCCTGATGGGCAAAATCTGGGGCTGAAGTGTACGAAATAGAACGGATAAACCATCAATCAGCATTTCCTCAGCATGAGAAAAGCGCCTCCCAAGAAAATCTGCCACATTTCCGAGAAGAGCGCATATAGAGGATGTGGAGAACTTTCATCGGCTTCAACATATGGTTTTTATTGTGACGAAAGAGAGCTCCGATGGGGAATTATTTGAATTTTTCATATATTCACTCCTCTTTTTCTTTTCGAAACACTCGATGGCCCCAGTGTATGTAAATGAACTCTTTTTTACGATGCCTCCCAATATTTCAATTGAATTTTGCGCATTTCCATTTTTCCTAACTGAAACACACCATCACACACTGCAAATAGAAACGAGGTGGTTTCTCATGATTTCTCCCGATAAAGTGAATCTCTTTCTGATTCTCATCAATACGTGCTCTACCAGTGAATGCCAAGCGGCGCATCTCAGTGCATTTTTTTTTCACTAAAATGTAAATTTACGTGTGAAAAACTCACCGTTCAATGGCAATTGTTCGCAGATGTGCGACGTCTTGCACTCTCCTCTGGATCACTGTTGGTCCTCGGTGTCCTTTGGCCACGAAATCCTCACTCTATCGATTGAACTCAGACACACACTTTACGTAATTGCGGAGAAAACGCGCGCGCTGTCGGAAAATTGCGCCCCAGGAGCCAAAGAGTGCCTCTTTCAGCCCTTCAATCCTCACCACATGGACACAATAGTGGCCCCAGAACTCCCCAGTGTGATAACCCAGCTGATTCTGTTGTTGTTTGCTCGATGTCAGCTGATTGAATGAAGTGAATTCGCCACTTGAGCCCCAGAGAAATGCGCTCTTCTACAGCCAGTGAAAAGAGAGAAGGCGCACTTGTGGGAGAGAATTTCCACACTATTCCTCTCTCGTGCTCCCTCTCTCTTTTGATTTTCTACTCACTGAAAATTTCATGAAACCCATTTGAATTCTGTATGAAATCCCCAACTCAGATGAGAAATCTCATCTTCTTGACCACCCTCAAGAGCTCAGCGTCCCAAATCCACCCTCGAAAATTGATTAATTCCCCTCGGGGATACAGAGGCTCTCCAGAAGGTCACCTCAAATACTTTTCCGTCATGAAACCACATTGTTAATTAATTTTCCGTCACGAAGCGACCCGCCAACGCACTTCTTACAGACGATGAGAACCCTTGAAGGCATGCTCTGGAGCGATTCACAGCATAATCAGCTTTATGAGAATTTACAGTAAATTCTGTGTAGAATTAAGTGATAACACGCGAATTGTGCTACAACATGAATGATGAATGTTACTGGAGAATAAGAATTTTTATGTAAATTGCGAAAAATCCTGTGATTCAAAACACTCAAAATAACAAAATCACACCGCTCTTAAAATAAGAGACCATTTCACTGGGCAAACACGCATCGATGTTAGCGCTACTAATGGTGATTACACAAATGAATGTAAATTTTACTTACAATTTTTTCTTCTGACTCTCGAAAATTCTACTCTTTTCCAGCTCACATTTCGCCTCCACGTCCAGAAAATCCTCTTCCAGCTTCACGTAATCCGAGCTAATTTTCCGGCAGTTTTGATGATTGAAATTCCTTTGCGATGCCCTTATCGACCGCCAAGGCGAGGATTTGCTGAGTTTCTTCGTTTTGTGGGCAAGAATGGCTCTGTGCCAATTACAAACCACCTGGTTAGGAGATTGTCTGCCGCAAATACCGTCCGAACCGTGAAATTCACACTTGCCCGCCATAATAACATCGGGATTGCACAAAAAACACGAGAAGACTGAGTAGATTGAACTAATCCTGAACAACTTCACATTTTCTTATCGCTCTCAATTTCCGGACTTTCATGGCTCACGCTTTCTGCAATTTTCGCGCGATAAGCCAGACTCTTTGTGGCTGTGGACTACTATATCTTCTTGTAATTATTTTCTCTCTTTAGCAGCGTGGAAAATTAGGCTAAGAAAAGTACTTGAATTGTTCCTTTTCACGATTACAGGGACTTGAAGCAATTCAATCATTCTTTCTAGTGGGCGGGGCTTTCCAATGGGAGGGACATTTCAAATGATTCCTTACGCTAAGTAGTTGATTAATCATAATCAATATTAACTCTGAGATTTCTTCAATATTGCAAAAGTTCAATCGAAAATGCAAAGTCGTGTGGAAATGATTATTTTGGGTGAGAGTGTAAATCCTTTTAAAATTCTCTTATTATTAAGACTTTATTGTGAACAATGATTTTGAAGTGAGTTTTTGTATGGGGTGAAGTATTAAGACTTCTGTAGAAGTCGATATGAGTTTGACCTACAATTTTTTATTGTTCTACAAATCACCAAAGCCAATAAAACTTGCAATCCAAGGTTGGGCTTCTAGTTGCCTTTCGAATCTCCCGCTCGCCGCCTGGCGTCGAAGAGTGTGACAGCGCTGAGCGAAAAAGCGCCCAGTTTGGGACATTCACTGTTGCCTGTCACAGTGTTGTCATTCGTGGAAAAATTTCTGAAAAAGCAGCAGCATTTGGAAGGCGAAAAGCGTGGAAAAGTGCAGTAAATTGACGATATTGCGACTTATTGTGTCACCAAGTGTTGCCCTAGTGTGCACTGCGTGTCGCCAAGTTGTGATCTATCGTGCAAATTACGTGCAACCCGTGATATTTGGTGTGTGGTTTCCTCGTCACTTGTCAGCCCAGAGGAGAAAAAAGGCCCGACCGAGCTATTTTCTCGTTTGTTCTGCAGCTCAATCGCCATCCAGGGTGGCAAGCAGCGGTTTCCCAGTGAATTGATGTGTCCATGAAGGTGATTGCAGTGCTCAAGTGACTTCGGGAAGAGCCAATCGCCGTGAGCGAGTGTGTGTTTGGGTGGCAGACAATTGATTTTGCTCTACTGCGACTCCGTTGCCTCTGCTGAGCATTACCCGTCCGGGTGAGATTCTCGTTGGGGAACGCGCACTTGTCAGGCCAGAGAATGCCTCTGTGGAAGTCACAGAAGTCGCCGGCGGAGCTCGTGAAGGCGCTCAAGGAGTCCGTCAACTCGCTGGAACGGGGCGACAAGAAGGCCGAGAAGGCCCAGGAGGATGTCAGTAAGAACCTAGTGAGTATCTCCAGTGCAGGGAAGCATCCAGATAGCGTTACTTTCCCGGCCGCCGAGTGCGCTGGGCCGATAGCAGAAGCAGGGATTTCCGTAGCAGCGCGGCTGAAAATCGATAAAACACCTCTCAAGGTTTCCTGAATTTCGTGTACACTTTTGTCCTAGTGTCAACGCATCCTTGGTCACTGTCTCCCTCTTTCTCACTTTCACCCTGACACCACCGGAGGACACCAAATCCCCGGGCGTCTGCCCTCATAGATTATTCAGTGTGTGACAACATCTTTTCCCCGCGCCTCAAATGCAGATGTTCTCCTCTCTGCAGAGGATAAATCAAGGATGAACCCAGAATTCTTCCATGAGACCCGCACAAGTTCTGCCCAATAAGACGAAGAGAAGCAACATCGAGAATCAATTGAGCCAAAAAGCAATTAGCGAGCAATTTCCTCACTAATTGCAAGTTTAAAATAATTAACGAGCAATGGAATTCGCAGAGACTCTCTAAAACTCGCGATATCTTATCGCTGCTCGGCGCTTTTTTTTTTGCTGGCTCTCGAGCATTCGGATCACTCGGATTGTATCGCGCTGCAATAGTCACAAGATTCACCTCCGAGGTGGCGATTGCACAGCCTCTTCTGGTCCAGAAGCAATCGCGCTCACTTGCTATTTGTCAATGGGCGCAATGTTGTGATGTTACACAACAGCGCGGGCTGAATTTGAGTCACTTTTACGCAGAAGTAGAAATTTATGACTCTGAAGTGCACACTCGAGGGCCCTCCACAGCTCCCGACGTCAGGCGTGTAATGATTGTGATAATATTTGAATGATTTTTCATTGATCACTAAATTTCTATTGCCAAGTACTTGCGACTATTTAATCCTCCTTGTAGTAATCAAGTAATCTGCAACTTAATTAGTCACGCTTGTGTACAGACTGATCGTATCGAGCCTCTTAATTTGATAGTCATATGGCAGACTCTGACTCAGTCTTCAGCATAATGTCTTGATGAGAAAAATGTTTCAAGTACCAGCAGATAATTGATCAGCTGATCTCAGAGTCAGAAATTTATTATTTGAATTTCTATTCTTGATTTTTTACATTTCCGTGCAGCTTTTCTCGCTTGAATAACACATAAAAAAAATGCCTAAATAAACTCCAACAAAGTTCTTCCCATAAATTGCGACATTTGTCAAATACAATCTTCATTCACACTTCCTTTTATTTGTCAAAATGTATCGGGAAAAATTCCTACTGAACTTTGCCCAGACATTTTTGCTGGCAAGTGAAAATAGTTTAGTCTGGAATTTCTCAAAAATGGACTTTTTATGAGATTTTTAAGAAGAAAATTGATAGCGAAGTTGACGCGCGAGTTTAAACAATGATAAGAATCTGGTCAAGGAACTGCAGAGAGTTTTGTGATTTCGAGAAGAGAAACAATGATCTTTTCGCGATTTGTGCAATTTCTTCCCAGAATTAAAGCGTATATCACTGTAATTTGCATGCCATTGTTAGAGATTCTCCCGGTGACTCATTGGATTTCCTCACTTGTTTGCAGGTACTTATCAAGAACATGCTGTACGGAACGTCAGACGCTGAACCGCAGACAGATTACATCGTGGCGCAGCTGTCGCAGGAGCTGTACAACAGTAATTTGCTGCTGCTCCTGATACAGAACCTCAATCGGATTGACTTTGAGGGCAAGAAGGATGTGGCGCAGGTGTTCAACAATGTGTTGCGACGACAGATCGGCACGCGATCGCCGACAGTTGAATACATTTGTACAAAGCCAGAGATTCTCTTCACACTGATGGCGGGTTATGAGCACCAGGAGATCGCCCTGAATTGCGGCACGATGCTGCGGGAGTGCGCCCGGTACGAGGCGCTGGCCAAAATCATGCTCCACTCGGATGAGTTCTTCAACTTTTTCCGCTACGTCGAGGTCTCCACGTTCGATATCGCCTCAGACGCCTTCTCGACATTCAAGGAACTCCTCACGAGGCACAAGATTCTCTGTGCTGAATTCTTGGAGGCGAACTACGACAAAGTCTTCTCACACTACCAGAGACTGCTGAATTCGGAAAACTATGTCACACGTCGGCAGAGTCTCAAGCTGCTCGGAGAGTTGCTGCTCGACAGACACAACTTTACGGTATGTTAACTCTTGAAAAACTTTAATGTCCAATTTCTTGGTGCGAGAGATCCACTGCGCTTCAACTCAAAGAGCAAATGACAGAAGCTGAGAAATCATTTCACAGCTAAATTTATGGTAATTTATTCGAAAATGTATCGATGCTCACTTTGATGCTGGACTGCAAGAGTGCAAACAGAAGTTGATTTCTCTATGACAGCGTATTTAGCAGGATTTTTAACCCATTAACACTTGAGTGCAATATTTGACGGTCGATCTAAGAAACTTTGCAAAAAGGCCGAATTGGTTACAGTGAAAGTTAGGCATCTTTAAGAGAATCTCTTGAAATGGATGGAAAGATAATTAGTTAAAATGTTCCATTAAACTCTTGGGTTGACTTTTTCGCCCTGAGTCAAGAAAAAGTTGAGAAAGACATCGAAGTCGTTGTGTAAACAAGGAACTTTTGGGATGACGGATTGTGGAAGGTCACGGAAAAGTTTCCTGGCAGAGCTTAAGAAGCGTGTCCAAGAAAGTTTGTTGGAAAGCAACGCAGTTGCATGAAATTTAGTAACTTGTCACTCAAAATCGATATGCTAGGAAAGATTTCGAGACAATTGACGGAAGGATTTTAGTCAAAGCGTCTAATATGTCTCAACTGAAGGAGGAGAATCTATTGTCTTTCTTAAATGACTAGAGATGAGATTATGCAAAATTTAATAGCGACTCAATTTACCACTATTATTGAGTATTCTCTAAATTGAAGGGTTAATAAGAATTGACTTTGATTTTGTGGTGGTGGTTTTCGAATGCAATGCAAACATGAGTGGAGGAATTTTGTTATGGTTGTTATAAATTTGAAATTCTATATCATAAATACACACAAGAAGTAAAACTTGTGAAATGCAATAAAAGTGGAATTTGCGGAACATAAACAAATAAGAGTGTTTGCTCTTCCTTCAGGTTATGACAAAGTACATTTCGAATCCGGACAACTTGAAGCTCATGATGAATATGCTGAAAGAGAAATCGAGAAATATTCAGTTCGAAGCCTTCCATGTATTCAAGGTGAGAGACAATTGCGTGGCGAAGAAGTTGTGGCAGAGGCTGAAAGCGCGCGTCTCTATTTTGCAGGTGTTTGTGGCGAATCCCAACAAACCGAAGCCAATACTGGACATTTTGCTGCGAAATCAGGAGAAACTGGTCGATTTTCTCACGAAATTCCACACAGATCGATCCGAGGATGAACAGTTTAACGACGAGAAGGCTTATCTGATTAAGCAAATAAAGGAACTCAAGCCAGCCCCTGAACAATAGTGAAATATTTATAATACATTTAATATCAATTATTGAGAAAAAAAAGAGAAGTGAGAGAATAAAAATAAACTATTATTCAGTAAATATGCAAACCTAATAAAAAAAAAAATACTATTATCACTTGTAATTATTACTATACAATAATGAGCTGATGGAACACACTCTCGAGGGTGAAGTAATGTGTAATTTTTAGAGGACGAAGAAGAGGAAAAATGTAATTAACAATAAAGGAATTTTAGACTATAGTGAAGTGAGAAAGCATAATTGATATACAGAAGGAGAAAAAAAAACAGAAACGAAAGAACGAGGTTATTAATTGAGAAGATAAATTGACTTTGTAGGATTTTTAGGGCAGACAGAAAGTTATTTAGACATTTCTTGTTTCATCTTAGTGCAGTTTTAACAGGGGTTGTTCGATAGGCGATGAAGAAGTAAAATTAAACTTTATTAGCATGATGACAGAAAAATTGTTCCTACGTTCATAAGCAAAATGCCGAGAAAGTTTGGGTGGCGCGCGATCTTGAAGAAGCAAAACATAAGATAAATCTGTACTGAATTTCGTGAATAAAGTGAGAAGTGACTTTCTCGAAAACCCATGGAGTTCATGCTGCAGCAATCCCTCGTCTCCGCATGACCTGTCCTCCTCCCTCAAATGCGTATATTTAATAAATATAATATATTTTCTATTCTACTCCTCATTTATAGGCACTGCAAGAGGAAATTATAGCAATTAAATATGTTAATTTTGTCAACAGATAAATAAATAAAATGTGACTAGAATAGAAGCGACACGCAAAATAAGTTATTCGCCCCTCAAAAACTTCCCAATATTCTACCCGAAATTTCGCAAATTGTATTTTTCTGTATATGTAGCACACGAGCTGGCCAATTTATTATTTATGTACTACTATGTAATATTTAACACTAATTGATAACATTGAGACATTTATAAATTTTTAGGAAACTGCAAAAACGAAAAATTGTGACATGAATAAATAAAGAGCAGAAGCGATTTCGCTTTGGTGAGAAGAAAATAAACTGAACTCTATTATCAGCAGGATATTTTTCTATTTATCAGGCAAAGGGAAGCCTTTTTTTAGGAAGAAGAAAATAAATGAGTAAAAAAAAACGAAAACGGTGCGTCAAAATGTGATTTTTTCTTAAATTAATAAAAACAGAGACTACAAAATAAATTAGACAGGCAAAAACACGCATTTTCTTTCTCTCTTGATATGATTAATCACTTTGTTTGGCCGATTGACAGAAATCTGCAACAAAATCAGCGATCAAAACAACTTTTTCTACACTCTTCAAGGCTGAACAGCATCTCAGAAGTACATTTTCAGGTAAACTACATTTGCGATCTTTGCAGTGAAAATTTGTTTTCAGACAGGCTGAAGAGTAAACCACACAAAGAGCTGATGAGCTGCAAAACTCCTGAACTCAACTATCAGCTTTTTATTCAATAATGTTTAAATATTCCTCCACAGAGCTTGAATTCGCTCACAACTCAATGTGATCTACGGAGAGTCCTTTGCTATCCTTCGGCCGTGTTCACTGGCGCTGTGCCGCCTTTTGGCCCTGGAACGCCTCGATGCGCTTCTCAATCACCGGTCGGAAGTGCCTGATGAGTCCCTGCACTGGCCAGGCGGCGCCGTCGGCCAGGGCGCAGATCGTGTGGCCCTCAATCTGCTTCGAAATCTCCCACAGCATGTCGATCTCGCCCTTGTTCGCGTTCCCCTGCACAAAGCGCGCCATGATCTTGTTCATCCAGCCGAGGCCCTCGCGGCACGGCGTGCACTGGCCGCAGCTCTCGTGCTTGTAGAACTCGCACAGCCTGTGGATAGCCCGAATGATGTCCGTGCTCTTGTCCATCACGATCACGGCGGCCGTGCCGAGGGACGTTTGCGCCGCCACGAGCCCATCAAAATCCATCGGCACGTCGCTGCACACATTCTGCGGGATGCACGGCGTCGAGGAGCCGCCCGGGATCACGGCCAGCAGGTTGTCCCAGCCGCCGCGCACGCCGCCGGCGTGTCTCTCGATCAGCTCCTTCAGCGGAATCGACATCTCCTCCTCGACAGTGCACGGATTGTTCACGTGGCCGGAGATGTTGAACAATTTCGTGCCGGAGTTCCGCGTGCGCCCAAAGCTGGCGAACCACACGCCGCCACGGCGGCAGATTGCGGGCGCAACCGCCACTGTCTCCACGTTGGTAACAGTCGTGGGACATCCGAAGACGCCAATATCAGCCGGGAAAGGCGGCTTGAGACGCGGTTTGCCCTGCTTCCCCTCCAGCGACTCGATGAGCGCCGTCTCCTCGCCGCAAATGTACGCCCCGGCGCCGCGATGCATGAACACGTCGAAGTCATAGCCAGAGCCGCAGGCGTTCTTGCCGATCAGGCCAGCCTGGTAGGCTTCCGCAATGGCATACTGCATGTTGGAGGCCTCGTTGTAGAACTCCCCGCGGATGTAGATGTACGCCGCCTGGGCGCCCATCGCGCGGCCCGCAATCAAGCAGCCCTCAACCAGCTTGTGTGGATCGTGGCGCATTATATCGCGATCCTTGCAGGTTCCGGGCTCGCCCTCGTCAGCGTTCACCACCAGATACTTGGGGCGTCCATCCGAGGGCTTGTTCATGAATGACCACTTCAGACCGGAAGGAAAACCCGCTCCTCCGCGCCCGCGAAGTCCGGAGACCTTGATTTCATCTGCAAATGCACACAGTTAGAGCGCCAAATACGCTTAAGAAGCACTTCAGCGACTTACTGACGATCCATTCCGCTCCCTTGTGAATGATTTCCTTGGTCTTGTACCAATCGCCCCGTTTGAGGGCTCCCTTGAGTCGCCAGTCATGTCGTCCATACAAGTTCGTAAACACCCTATCCTGGTCAGCCAGTGGCCCGAAAGTGGTCTTCGTCTGCGGTGGCGGAGTCCCCGCCGGGGGTGCCGTGGAGTTTCCTCTGCGCTGTGCTTTCACCACGAGCGGATAAATCGCAGCTAAAAAGCGTAGAAAATTATATAAGTTTTGACGTTTCACCGACACGAGAAAAATAACACACGAATTGTGTAGAAATTTCCCAGGGGGAAATCGTGTCAGGCTTTGATTAGAGTGTTGGAAGTATTTACCAATTTGCTGCTTGGGAATTGCATTCACCCTGGCTAAGGCAAAAGCCATTTTTAGCGATATTTTTCAACAAACTTCCCTTCGCCCACCTTCAATGGCTGGCACTTTGGGACAAAACGTCAGGATTTCGCTGCGTGACTGGAAGTGTCCCACGAAACTGCTTCGCGAGTCGCTCAGCTGGGCGACTGTTGACAGCTGATGAGTTGTTTTTCCCAATTTGCGTAGAGAAAACACGCAAAAGCCAGAATTTACTGGGAGATCTCATAATCTCTGGCCACAGTCACCTTCTCTGTCGCTTCTGGAGTCTCTCTCCTGTGGCTCTGACCACGTGTGTCCATGTAGTGAGTGCAATCGAGCAGTAATCATCGGAGTCTTTGTCTCGCGGGGAAACACCAGGAAGTGAGTCAACAAATTCCATGTTTTGCCCTTCTTCTTGACCAAGAGACGCTTTGTCTCGGTGTTTGCAGGCAATGCCGATTCTGTACAGCGTCGTGGCGCGCGGGAGCACCGTCCTGGCCAAGTACGCGGAGTGCGTGGGCAACTTCGCTGAGGTCACGGAGCAGATCTTCACGAAGATTCCGCCCGAGAACAACAAGCTCACGTATTCTCATGGAGCCTACCTGATCCACTATATCTGCGAGGACAGAATCACGTACATGTGCATCACGGACGGTGACTTTGAGCGCTCACGGGCGTTTCTCTTCCTGGCCGAGATCAAGAAGCGCTTCATCTCCACTTACGGCCTCACTGCGGCCACAGCGATCGCCTATGCCATGAACACTGAGTTCTCGCGCGTCCTGTCCACGGAGATGCGCAAGTTCAGCGACGCCGTGGAGTACGACGCGCTGTCACGCGTCCACGGACAGATCGACGAGCTGAAGGACATCATGGTGAAGAACATCGAGAACGTGACGGCGCGCGGCGAGCGCCTGGAGTTGCTGGTGAACAAGACGGAGAACCTGAGGAATACGTCGGTGTCCTTCCGTCACACGTCCCGCAATCTGGCGCGGGAGATGTTTTGGAAGAACATCCGCATGTACGTGATCCTGGGCGCCATTGTCGTCTTCATCATTTATGTGATCGTGAGCATGGCGTGCGGGGGCCTCGCCTGGCAGTCTTGCATCCGAAAGCAGTGAATCCCTGAGTATTATCAAATACCCCGCTCACTATCTCTTATTTTACCACGAAATATTGTGTTTTATCGCGAAAATGTGTGTCCTCGTCTCGGGAACGCCCCCCTCTCCGGGCACGTTTCGGCTCTTGACTGTCCGGGAATAAAAGAAATTAAGCTATTATGTTGATAGATGCAAATATAAGTAAATAATTTTAATAAAACACCTCTTTTTGTATTGTTGTGGGATGAAAAATAGCTCTGAATGTGGGAAAAATGATTAATTTCGCAACTTTCTCCAAAGTACAGATTTTGACCGCGAATCTTCTGCCAAAAGAGTGCGTTGGCGGCGCCCAGAGGACAACCCCGAGCAGTGCGCGCGCGTTCCTCCGGGACTTCAGTTGCTCCCCGACCGTCGTGTGAAGTGGTTGTGCGCTCGGTGATTCCCCGAAACTACCCATCTCTGTCCCACCAACGTGAGTAAATGTGCCAAAAGTGTTTTTGTTGTTTCCACGCTCTGGCGGGAGTTTTCCTTCGGGTGCACTCGCCCTCCCTCTCTGGCTCACGCGCTCCAACGGGGGATGAGTGGGAGAGGTGTATCCACCGCGCCCAAAACCACCCCCTGACTTGCGAATTTTCTCCATGCCAACCTCCTGGGGGCGCTCCTGTGCTGCGAAGGCTCTCCAACAGCGGGAAATCCCGAGATTCCCAAGCACTTCCGCGCATTCCCTCATCTTCTGTGTGTTTTGACGCTCTCGAGAGGCTGCTTTTTTTGCCTGACAGCCAAAAATAGATCCACAGATGATTTATTGGCTCACTTCCTCTCCAGCGCGAGGCTGAGGAGCGCCCGAAGGCGCGCGGAAGGCCATGGCCAGGACGCAATCCTGTGCGGGAACAAAGAGGGCGAGAGAGCCACCCTGCATTTTACGACACGTCGTAAAATGCGGGCGCAACGATAGGGGGTGGAATTCCTCGGGGAAAATGAGGGTCCTGCGATAAAGCATCATGGAATTTATTGATATTCTCACTGGGCCGTGAGAATCCATTCGGCAGGCTTTTTATGCAGATAAAACGTGACGCAGCGCGTGGGTTTTGGGATTAAACTGCAGAATTGCACGCGAAGGTGTTGGAATTCAAATGAGAATTTTCACTTTTCACCATGTTTTTGGGGTGTAGAAATCAAGTAGAAATACGAGAAAAGAGTTCTTGAATTAAAGTTTCTGCTTGTAAGATTCTTCGGCTTTAAAAATTGAAATAAATGCAGCATCTCAGCAATAGTTAAGAGATTTACGTTATTCATCTCCATTTATTGAGATTTTACAGTATTTTCACTATCAATTCCATCAATTTACTTCGTCTTTCTGATCAGAGTCTTTCTGTCCATTCTATTTTCCCCGCAGGATAACGAAAAACCACCAGAAACGTATTCACTCTAGTGTAGTTTAGCCAGTGATTTTGAACGCTTTTTTGGACATGGAAGAGTGCGGAAAGTGGCGGAAATTCGGGAGTGTCTGAGAAGGGATTAGAGTAAGTGCGCGTGACGATGGATAGCTCACCGGATTTGTCGCTGAAACTCCGGCGTGGATCTTCGGATTCGCGCGAATCCTTCTACATGGATTTCGCCCAGGGCATCGACTCGGACATTGAGGAAGTGACGACGATCGTCGAGCCGCCGCCACCTGTTGTGGTGTCGCCGCCGCCGCCGGAAGTTGTTGTGCCCGTGCAGGAGGTGCTGATCGCTCCGCCGGTGATTGTCGAGGAGGAGGACGAGGCCATTTTGAGCGATGCGGGCGAGGAGGAGATTGAGGAGGAAGAGGAGCAGGAGGAGGAGGAGCCTGAGGAGCAGGAGCCTGAGGAGGAGGTCGATGAGGGACTAGAGGTGGAGCCTGAAGAGGTGCCCGAGCCCGCTGAGGTGGCACAAAGTGTGGAAGAGAAGGAAATTGAAGCGGAAAGTGAACCTGAGGAAGTGAATTTGGGTGATGTTGATGAACAGCCAGCGGTGGAGGAGGAGGAGAAAGCCAGCGCCGTGGAGGAGCCTGAGACGCCCGAGCAGGTGGAGGACGACACTGAATCTCACACGACCTCTCTGCCGCCGCCCCCAACCCCGCCGCCGCCGCCCACGGACATTGACGAAAGGTGAGTGACTCTCCCCCAATTGCTGATCAATCATCTATTTGTAGAGCTGGAATTTTGTCACCCTCCTGGAGTTTCCTCGCCTCGGGTAACTGGAGAAATCCACCTTTTCCCCGCTTTGCTGGGATTTCTTGAACCCCCTCCGCCTTCGTGTCCTTTGACGACGGTCTGGGGCTGGGGAGTGCTCAGGAATCTCATGAATTTTCAGTTGGGGGAAGCCACATCATTTTTCTCTCGTTATGCTTTCAGTTATGTGTGCGAGCGGATGGTTTATGTGGGAAAAACGGGAGTGAAAAGGCACGAAGCAAGGTTCAATGGTCATTTCGTGTGGTCTTGAACAATTGTTCTCCATACGTTTGCTGATTTCCCGGCTTTTCCCTCATCAATTTGAGTAATTTGAGTAATATTTTTGGGTGCAGAAAAGTGGTGGAATTCTTTAATGCTGGGTTTTCATTGAATATATCAACGGAATGAACATATGAAGTGCTCTCAAACTCAGCATTTTCACTATATATTTTAGAGACAACATTTGTTTGCCACATCTTGAGACCACTTTTGAGATTTATGGTGTTCCCTGAATGGCAATTCTGTTCACCTTCTTTGTGGCTTTCTCGAATGGCTGTGACTCTCTCTCCCTCGAGTGTCATGAATATTCACTTTCCCCCGGCATTTCCACTTTTCTCTGTCGCCTTTTTGTGTGCTGCCTGAAAAGAGAGCGCTCGATTCCTGTGCGGAACTCGAGTCGGGATTAGAGTGTCTGGCGATGCACCTCGCTAGAGTGCGAGTGTGTGGATTGCGCGATGTGGGTGAGATGGAGAGGAAGATTTCAATCAGGAAAGTGACCTTCACAGCATTCCGTGGCGCGATTGTGTGCGTTTGTCGAGTGGTCGGAGTGATCAGATGATCGCTGGGGCCGCTGGGGAGCCCAAAGAGACTCAGTGTCTGTGGCGCGAGTGGCGATGATGCAGAGCATTCCCAGCGCTGTTGTCAGGTGGTCGCGCGGTTCCTCAAACTCACAATTGAGTTGGCTGCAAAGTGACTTAATTCCCACCTCAATCTGGCCAATTTTCCAGCTCTAGCAACGATGTGGGCAGCGAGCAATTGGCCGCTTCGCCATCATCGGCCAACAATACGATCGTCTCACCGGAAACACTGAGTCACCACACGTCTCCGGCCAAGTCGCCGCCTCTGCTGCTGCAGGCTCCAAAGTCCCCGCCGTCGCACCATGTGACCATCGACGAGAGCCCGCTGAGGTCGTCGCGACCGCAGAGCCCGCCCAGGACGGGCACAACGTCCGCCGAGGCGCTGATCTCGCACGAGTCCGAGACGTGCATCGTGGAGACGAGGAGCTCCACGCCAAATCAGCTGGCCCTGTCGACGCCCACGTGCTCCACCAGCGGCACCACGCAGCACCTGGCGCTGCTCTATCACCACACCACGCACCAGCACCTGCATCCCATCCTCACGCAGTCCAGGCGGCTCTCGCGCCTCCCGGAGACCTCCATGATGCGCTATTCGGCGGCTCCGCAGAAGGAAATCCGAGCGTGAGTACAGAATGAGAGTTATTTATGCACAGATTGAAGAATTATCTCAATAATCATAAAATCTCAAGATTCAATGATCTTTATTCTGCAAAAAAAATCACTTTTCCGACTGTTCGTTATGAGTATTTACGCTCTTCAACTTCGAATTAGCCTGAAAAGGTTCTCGTGCTTCGCAATTGCGCTGAGCCACTGCGAGGTCTAATCTGTGATTAATTGTTAATTTTTTAATGGCAAACTCCCCTTTTCGCTGCACGCTGATTTGTCAACTTTTTCCCGGTTTCTCGTCCGCACAGAATCGATGCATTCACCACGACTCTCTCGGCGCTCTATGGAAAATTGATCGTGATTATGGGGGTGGCGTTTCCGCTGTCTGAGGTAAAGAGCGTCCGCCGGGTGGGATGACAATTGGCGGAAGTGGGAGATTTTCCGCGAGAGAACGACAAATTGGCAGAAAGTCTCCAACACTCTTCCGACAATTGGCCTCGCACGCTGCGGTGTGGAAATATTTCAATTTTCACCCTCAATTAAAATGTATTTTTCCCCAACCCGGAACTTGTCCAGGTCATCTCCACGTACATTCCGCCATCGTTCTATGAGGTGAGAATTTGGTCGGTGGGTTTTTTGGGGGATTAAAATGTGATTAAGAGAGATTGTTCACTCTTCGCAGAGCTTCTATCTCTATCTCTACATCGGCAGCATGGTGTTCCTGCTCTTCATGTACGCCACTCTGCTGTGGGGCCGCCCGAAGACCGTCTACACGACGAGTAAGGGCTTTGAGACGAGGGATGAGGGGTTTTGGGGACTCTCGAGTACAGCGATTTTCCTTGCAGGTGTGAAGCAGACCAAAGCGCCGCCCAAGAGGTCGTCATCGTGCAGCTCCAACAGCGGAAATGAGTCCGACCGGGAGAGCGAGGGCAGCTCGGGGAACAGGCAGCTCAATGTGGCCATCTCGCCGCCCCCCAGGAGGCCCTCCCTCTTGCCCGTGAGCGCCTCTGGGCAGCAGCACTATGGCAGCTTCTACCTGCGAATGGGAGCCGTTGGTGAGTCGATATTTTGGCACTTTTATGCATAACACGCGTAAAAACCATGTTTCAGCAAAAATGATATTGATTATGCTAAGCGATGGGCACTTTAGTGCGCTTTTACGACATATTTTCTGCATTGAGCTTTTATTGGCTGTGAATTTTAATGAAATTTATATGGCAAATTGAATTTTCCTCTCACCACAGCACTTTGAGTAATACATTTTTCCCTTTAAACTAATTTGCCATATCGGAAAAGGGATAAATTAAATGCTTTTATGTATTGATTCTCCTCTTCCTGGAAAAAGAATGTTGTGAGATGAAAAATTCCACTTGACTTCAGAGATAGAGAGAAACTTTGTCAATACTTTTCACCATCAGAGTTTTCTTTTGCCACTCAAAAGTTTTCGTTGCTCTACGGGAGAAAAATCAGACGATGAAGTTAGCTGAATTGTCTCATTTTCTACTTTAAAGCTTTCGGCATCGGGAGTATGATTTACTCTGGTCTGGAGTTTGGGCAGTACTTCGAGCTGGAGAGGGACACCAAATGCCACAATGTGCTCCTGGCTCTCACTCCGGCCACGAGGATGGCGTTCATTTTCATTCAGATGTACTTTATCTTCCTGAATAATGAGGTACGTGTGCGCCTGTTCTCGCAATTAATTCACCCAAAGAATTCACCAGTCTTTTGCCAAGTGGCGCGGAAGTAATGTCGCCCGGGAAAAAGAGGGGAATCGCACACCTCATGAGCGTCCTTTTTCCTTTTGCAGCAAATTAAAGTGTATCGACACAAAATTCTGGCGCGATTCGGCCTCATGCACATGATCGGCACGAATTTGTCCGTGTGGCTGAACGTCCTTATTCAGGTGAGTGGGTGGAATTGTGTGAAATTGATATGAGCCAATAAATTCTGTCTGCTTTGTGTGGTCCTCTGCAGGAGACGAAACATGAGATTCTCACTTTCTACGATCCGGAGAACAGAACACTCAAGATTTCCCATCGATTGGGTGAGTTTTTCCACCTTTTTATCTTCTGATCGGGGCCCTTAGTCGCTCTTTAATCCCCCTAAAGTGCTTCCGATTGAACAGAAGGGGGATTTTATTCACTGAGTTATATTCTTTGAAGCATATAAACAGGCAAAATATATACATTTCTTGGCCCAATTTAGGAATTTTGCAATTACAATTAGAGATATTTTAAGGACAAAAATCTCTGTGTTCTGAGTCACCTTGTCTAATCTCTCTCTCTCTCTCTCTTCAGGCCACAAGACAGCCATTCATCCTCCGGACACATCGGTTCACTTGCGCGTTCCTCGCGGGCTGAAGGGTCCTCACCACATCTTTGAGTGTCGCCGGACGAACATTATCGGAACGCTGGTGCAGGACGCGTCGCCCTTCCTTTTTCCCTGCACCATTGAATATTCGCTCATCTGCGCCGCTATTCTCTACGTGATGTGGCGTAACGTGACCAATCCACCTCAGGAGACGCCCGTGCGACGGGACTTGTCCTCCTTCAAGCGCTCGCCTCATCACTACTCCGTGGACTGCGCCAGGGCGCACAAGGGCCTCTTCGTGGGCATCCTGATCCTCGTGTTGACCATCATTTCGCTGATTCTCTTCTTCGTGCTCATCTCGCGGCCGGAGTTTGTGGCCTTCGCCGTGACGGAGGTGACGGTGTGCGAGCTGACGCTGTACGCCACGGCCACGATTGCCACGCTGATCGGCATGATTCAGGTGAGGCATTTGCAGTACGACGCGGAGAGGAGCTTCCAGTTGGACGACATCCTGCTGGTGGGCGCGCAGTCGGGACTGTTCCTCTACAGCACTTTCACAGTCATCGGCGGCCACTTCACGCTGCGCAAGGACACGATTCTCGTGCTGATCAACGCGCTGGCGTCCATTGTGCAGACCGCCTGCCAGACAATGTTCATCCTGGACGCGAGTCGCAGAAACGCCGCCACGCCGGAGCACATCCGCAAGAAGCCCGGGCGCGAGATTGTGACGTTCCTGCTGGTGGCCAATCTGGCCATGTGGGCCATCAGCACGCTGGAGAAATCCCGCGCCGAGAGCCACCCGATCCAGCTCAACTTCTACGGTCTCTGGGCGTGGACCATCATCACGCACGTGTCCATGCCGCTGGCCATCTTCTACAGGTTCCACAGCACCGTGTGCCTCTGTGAGATCTGGAAGAGGGCCTACAAGCTCAAGCCCACGTACATGTGAAGACTTTCACGCCAAAATACTCTCTTTTTAACCTCTTAAGAACGTATTCAACAACATATTACTCATCATCATTATCAAGTTTAATGTTATAAAATCGTATTTTCTGCGGACAAAATACGAAAAAAAAATCTTTCCTTATGATAAACCAAAAAAATGAAGAACAAAAATAATCAAACGAAAGAATGAAACTTATCCCAAAGACAAGTCTAGTGTAAAGCCGTAGATTTTAGAATCGTAGGTCTTCTCTTCCCTTTTAATTCCCTATACAGAAATGCATTTTTTCGATGGATTTTGGGACATTTTGATAAAATATGACAAGAGATTTATTAGAAAGTGTAGAAATTAAACGGGAACAATCTTTTTTGAGAGCATTTTTGATCCATTTGTACATTGCTATGAGGGATTTACAATCGATATAGGACACTATTTTTTCACAATCAATTGTTTTTCACAATTCTCTAGGTGAAATCTCTCAAATTTTCATTATGTAGGTTAGGATCTTTATCAAGGATATGGGAGAATAGGATGAGGAGATAGTGTGCAAAAGGCATTGTGTATATTTTAAATTTGTGAATCAATCTTCCTTTTGGCCATTTTGATGACAAGTTTTTGCATATTTTTCAGAGTGGAAAATCGAAGAATTTATATTGTGTAATTGAAAGGAAAAAAGTCTAGTTATGACGCTTTGCAGATATATTTATTTATTCGAGAGTTGCAAAATGATATTGTGTTGTTTTTTAGTCTCAGCAATACTCTTTGTGTTTTCTATTGATGAAATATTATATACCGATTCGGGGGATTAATGTAGCGTTTAAGGAGTTATTTATTGCTTAGCGTGGATTCGGATTATCAGGTTTTGCCAGCAAAAATCTGTATTTCAATCAAAATGTCTAACCAAATCGGCCCAATGGTCGCAGGGGAGATTTTTTGTAACTTATTGCATTAATAATATTAAACGATATTTACAGAAAAAATGTATTTAATGTTTGTTTCTCGAAGTGATGGTGACATAACGGCTAATCCTTCCAGATTTCCAGGCGGCGTATTTTGCCACAGTGGCGCTGGCGGTACATAGTGGAACTGTCAAGTGTGTGTTGTTTTGGATTTGTGTGTGAATTTTTCTGGGCATCTAAGGAGCGATAAGAAATCATCCGGGAGGGCAGAAATTCGTGGAATTTGATAGGAATTTGTCGGCAAACATGACGTCAATGTTTGACCAGTACAACAAGACCCTGAAGCGGGACGAGAGCTCTGTCAAGAGCAGCGCAGTTACGCCCACATCCAGCGGCTACATCTCGGTCAGGATGTCGCAGGAAGCGCCCATCTTCGGGAAGCTGAAGATGAACATCTCCATGCCGCACGTCATCAACCACTTGGTAGTCTCCAACGGATGGTTGATGCTCGTGATGGCCAATAATGTGGTGTTCCGGATGCAACTCGTCGACATCAATCGATCGGACGGTAAATTTACAATGTTCTCCCCATCCGGAATGCGTCTCATGCTGCTTCATACTTGCAGAAGTCGCACTGGAGAAGTACACAGCAGGTCAGGAGATTTCTAGGGTGTTCCTGGACCCCTTGGGAGCGCATCTGTTGATTGCTTTGGTGCCGAAGTCCACACAATTCGTCCCAGAACTGCTGTATTTGCACAGAAGCCAGAGCAAACCAAAGAGAATCGACAAGTTCAGAGATCATGAGATTACCTGTGTTGCCTTCAACTATGAAAATGACTCCGAGACGTCCACAGGAGCTATTTTGCTGGGCACAAGCCGAGGACTCATCTTCGAAGTGGAATTGGCAGTGGAATCTGATAAAGTTGTCCACAACAATTGGAAGCAGGTGAGTTTTTCTCTCTCCTTGACAATGGTCAGGAAGTAGAAGTAAATGGTCTTTATCTTGCAAGCTGCCTAATTATCTGCCTCTGTATGGAAGCAGGGATGATGAGGGATTGGTAAACTCCCTTCTAGAAACTGTCTTTTGTCTATCTGGTGTCTAAAACATTCGCTTTCGTTTTAGGTTTTTGATATCGGGCGGAATGAGAACATCCCAATCACAGGGATTGAGTACTTCAGAGTCCCGAATACCAGTGAATACATCGTCCTGGCCACAAGCGTGGATCGCTTCTACAAATTCCAGGAGACGATCAAGTCAGACGACAGACAGCCGCTGCAGTCCATCTTCAACTCCTACTTGAATGTTCCGGAGGACATCCAGGACTTCCACGAGATCAAGAGTGTGGCCAAGGGGAAGACAACAAAGCTGAGGGTCTGCTATGACTACAAGAGTCACTTTCCGCGCTCCTTCGGCTGGATCACGGAGCCCTGCATCTTCTACGGTGAGATGGACGCCAAGAGCGACTCTCCGGCCAGGATGGTACACAACAAGCGGATTCCCTTCCCAGAGAACGAGAAGAATGCCCCTGTGGCTTTCGCTTTGACGGATTTCCACGCCATTCTCGTGTATCCGGACCACTTGACGGCGATCTCGCTGCTGAACTATCAAGTGGTTTACGAGGAGTTTATCAGCGAGAATCTGGGACCGCTGCAGAACGCCGTGAGAGACTATCGCGAGAACGTGATTTACGTGTACAGCACGAAGGTGATCTTTCGCATTCGCGTGACGAATGAGGAGCGCAATGTGTGGCAGATCTACCTGGAGAAGGGCGAGTTTGACAGGGCGCTGAGGTACGCCAAGGATAATCCTGCACATCTGGACATTGTCCTGTGCAAGCAGGCCGAGCAGTGCTTCAACCGGAAGGAGTTTATCGAAAGCGCTAGGCTGTTTGCCGAGACGAAGAGCAGCTTCGAGGGCATTTGCTTGAAATTTTTGGAGATTAACGAGAACGAGGCGCTGATGATCTTCCTGCGGAAGCGCCTGGAGGGCTTGAAGGCGCAGGACAAGAGTCAGATTACGATGCTGGTAGTGTGGATGGTGGAGTTGTTCCTCACCGAGATGGCGAGGCGAGGAGACAGCCAGGAGCAAGTGAGAGTGCTGCAGAGGGACTTTGATGTCTTCATGAACACCCCGCGCGTTGTGGAGTGCATGAAGACCAACCGATCGGTGATCTATGATCTGATGGCCTCCCACGGAGATGCCCACAATCTGGCCACCTTCACTGCCGTGAACAGGGACTTCGAGAACGTAGTGAATCAGCACATTGCTCTGGGGAAGTTCCTAGAAGCCCTGAACGTGCTCAGAGGGCAGAATCGCCCTGAACTGTTCTACAAATACGCTCCGATTCTCATGGAGAACATTCCGGCAGAAACTATTGCCGCCGCCATGGCGCAGGGAAAGCGTCTGGATCCGGTGAAGCTCCTGCCGACGCTCATCGTGTTGGAGAGTGATGTGCACGTGACGGAGATCATTCGCTACTTGGAGTACTGTGTTCACTTGCTTGGCTGCTCAGAGACGGCAATTCACAACTTCCTCATCAAGCTGTATGCGCAGAATCGCAGCGAGAAGCTGATGATCTTCCTCGAGACGCAAGGCAAGGACGTCTCCATGATCCACTACGATGTACATTACGCTCTACGAGTCTGTCGACAGCACAATGTGGCCGAGGCATGCGTCTTTCTGCAGTGCCTGCTAGAGATGTGGCATCAGGCAGTCGAGTTGGCGCTCACGGTGAACACGAAACTAGCTCAGCACACAGCCTCCATGGCTCCGGACAGAGATCTCCGCCGGAAGCTGTGGCTTCGCATTGCCGAGCACGAAATCCGCGGTCGGGAGGATGTGAAAGAAGCACTGGAACTGCTTCAAGAGTGTGATTTGCTGCGCATTGAGGATCTTCTGCCTTTCTTCTCGGACTTTGAGCGCATCGATCACTTCAAGGAGGCAATTTGCGATGCCCTGAAGGAATACAATCTGAAGATTCAGGAGCAGAGACGCGACATGGATGAATCCGCGAAGTCTGCGGAGAAAGTTCGCGCCGAACTCCAGTCATTCCGCAACCGATCAGTGACCATCTCAGCCTCTGACCAGTGCACGATTTGCAGCGCTGCGCTGCTCGTGAGGCCTTTCTTTGTCTTTCCATGCGGTCACAAGTTCCACGAGGACTGCCTGGAGAAGCACTTGGCTCCGCTGCTGGGCGCTGAGGCGGCGCAGAGACTCTCAGGACTAAAGCTGAGGCTGAGCATGTTGGGCGCCGGCGAGGGAGATGCCCAGAACGCCCGGGAGGCTCTAAAAGAGGAGATTCAGAGCATCGTGGCGGCGGATTGTTGCTTCTGTGGCGAGCTGACCATCGAGACCATCGACAAGCCCTTCATCAGCGACTGGGAGCGCGTCCGGAACGACTGGGAGTAAATATTGTATTCTAGCATTCTGCCTTTCATGTGATCTATATTATATCTAGAGAAATATTGGAAATATATCTTGTTTGTTTTTCATCATATCATCATTTCTCCAATTTGGGGATGATTCAGCGCGACCGTTTCCTTTCGAACGCCCAAAGTCGTGAGGTTATGTCACGCTCATCCCCACCCCGTGGCCTGGCTGCCCCTGCGGCGCTCGGGCAAAAAGAGTCGGCCATTTTTGCTCACTCGCCTGCCATATGGCGTGGCGCGAGTGCGAGCGAGACGGCCGGCTGTGCCCAGATGTGCCCAGATATGAAAAATTGCCCGCGAGAGTGTGTTGCATGTTGCGAAGGAGTGTCAGAGGCGAAGTGCAAGTGTGAGAGCACAATAGTGGCGAGATTTTTCCTTCATCGCGATAGAGCGCGAGTTTGGCGACATTGGCCCGTCATTCCCAGCCTTTTTCCACGCGTGCCGCGTGCGTGAGTGCATCAGTTGACCCGGCAGTGGCATCGGCGTGTGCCCGTGGTGGAATTTGTGTGACTTGGGGCGCTTCGGGGGTGGAAAAACGTTGCTTTTCTCGCTGGTGGAGTGTCGTTTTGTTGTGTATTTGAAATGGCTGCCACGAGTGTGGTTGTTCTGGATAGGGGAAATAATACCACTTGCACCATTAATTTACATGGTAAGTGACAATTAGGCGGTGGCGGATGGTGGAAATATTGCTCTTTGGTTGGCGTGAAAAGGGTGCTGTGTGAAAATTAGGCGATGACAAGGCCATTTTCAATTGGAAAAGTTCATATGAAAAAAAGCGCGTGGACACACACACACTCGCGCCGCTGCTCGTGTGCACACCGATGCGCCGCGTCGCGTGTGTGCGTCGAAAAACAACATGACAGAACTCAGGGGGCAGCACTTGGGGGGTGCGCGCAGAGGGCGTCTCTGTCGGCCTCCTTTTCCCTCCACTTTTTGCGCGCCGCACTCTCGGGCTCCCGGATCGGCGCCCGGAAAAGCCCGGGTCGCGGGCCCCTTTCTCCCCGCGGCCGCCCATTGTGTGTTTTCTCCTAATGATGATGACGAAAATTAACGCGAGAGCGAGAGGAGCGCGCTTTTTGCTGGCTCTTTCCAAAGCAACGCAGTGTAAAAAAGCAGAGGCTAAATAATAGAGAATAAACCATATAATAACATTTTCGAGCTGTGCGGCGGAGAAAAAAACACGAGAGAGAAGGGAAGTGTTGAAAAAAGATGGGCAAAAACAGTGAATTTTCAGTCGCTGTGCGGCTTTTATTGCATGTGTACAAGACACACTCTTTCCGAGGTGTTTTCCTGCCACTACACATATTTCTCTCTCGATTTTCGGCTGCAGAGCTCTAATTGTTTGTTTTTTGCAAATTTCTAATGAGACATACACAGTGCACATTAAAAATATAGTACCTCAGCTTGTGATGAAAGTTCAGCAATTGACGTGAAACGGAGACATATAAAAAGGGGGTGAACAAGTGCTCAAATGGGTGTCTTTTCGCTTTTCAGGCGCCACAGTGGTTTCCTGGAGAGTCAACAATCAGGAGCAGTTGTTCGTGAGGTGAGTGAATTTATTATTGATTATCCGGGAATGGGCGGGGCATTGAAGGAGGCGGAGCTCTCCATTCGCCAAACTGTTAAGTGCATGTTTCCAACAGTTTTCAAGCGAAGTCAGTGAATAAATCATTGTTCAATGTCCTAAATACGAGAGAAAATTGCATTTCTTAGGAAATATTCAGCTGTGCGGTGAAAGAGAAGAAATTCAGCTTTCCACGGAGGATTTTCTTACAGCAAAAAGTGCTCAGCCATTTTCCTGACCAGGGTCGTAGCCAGAGTGCTCCAGTGATTCGCTGGGCTGTGAATTGCTGGAATGTTTCGCGCACTGAAGGGCCATAGGAAAGAAATTCCCCAATTGTGGGATTCACTGGCGCGGGGGCAAAAAGTCGGGCATCATCTGGCTGAGCTGTGGGAGGGGCGGCGGAATTCTTGGGGGGCGAATCTTGGGAAAGCGCACCGAAATGCATGTTGGGAAAAAAGAGGCGAGGCGAGGTGTGGGCAGAAGTGGGTGGGGCGGGTGGCAAATGTGTGTGGTTGAGGCACTTTTTCATCAGCATCATCATCAGGCAACCGGGAAAAAAAGGCACGAAGAGGAAAGCACACAAATTCCCTCGATCGATATGGGGAGGAAATTATGGCAAGAGCACACACTCGACTTTTAGAGGGAATATTTGAAGGGATTACGATGTGGTTTTTCCTGTGGCTCGTTATTTATACACATATTTGACGGGGGGATTTGACAGTGACAGATAATTACTGTCAAAGTTTGAATTCAAATTGGCAAAAGAGGAGGAGAGCTGAAATGCGCTGCAAACAGAATCGACCAATTCATCTCTGTTCTCGTGTGCGGAGCGCTTTATTTGAAAACAGTAGCGCCTAGTTTTTGTGTCAAATCCCATTTCCGACGAGCATTTCTTGTTGGCTTGTGTTCCACAGTTTCGCTTCCAGTGTTTTCCCTCCGTCCAACTTCTTCCTAATGCCCCAATCTTTCTCTCTCATTCTCCACCCAAATTCTCTACGTCTGTCTTCAGCCTTTTTTCTCACCCATCGTCCAACTCTTCTCGGGATTTTCTCGGAGAATGAATGTCTCTCTCTTTTTTTTGTCGACACTCCGTCAATTGTCTTGTGCGCGCGGAGCTTTTCACTATATCTGGGCGAGCGCGGTGGAAAAAGCGCGGGAAAAAAGTCCGCGCGACGACGGGACAAAACCGAAGATGCGATTCGCGATAATTCAACTTCTTTGCCTCACATCCTCTCCATCATTCATTCGTTCTGTGTCCCGGTTTTTGCCATCCAATTTCGCGAGGAGAAGTTCTCTCTTTCGTTTCGCCAATTCTGACCACAAACAATGTATTTACGATTGTGAGGCGCGAGAAAAAAGTGGATGGATTTGCCATTTTCGCTGAGCGTCAATGAGAGAAACAAGGTCGTCCCGGAAGTGCAAAGATTGACGTTGATCTCGCGGGCATGCGAAGTATTAATATTCAGCCGCGATGATGCTTTTGAGACATTGATTGAGTCGTTTTTTTTTGGCACTGATCGCTGAGGAAAAGACTCGTTTCTATGGCTCTTTGATGTTGCTTCTCAAATTGGCGGTGTGACATCTTAAAGGGATTCCATATTTTCTTGAAATGACTTTGCTCTGAGCATCAATTTGTTAATAATCTGAGAGAATTTTATCATAAATCTACTGATAAATCTGCTCGAATTTCTTCTCGTGCTTGAGAGGAGCTCATGTGGACGATTTTCTGTGGCTCTCGAAAGCTTAAACTTTTTCCAAATCACCCCCAAAAGCGGAGTTTTTAATCACCCGAATTGCCTCTCATTGATTTCAAGGGTTGTGGCATTAATTTTAAATGGCATTTCTTCCATATTTCTGTAGGTTTTTGACTGTGATCCAATTGTTTCGTTGTCTGTTTCATATTTAATGCCACCCATTCATTTTGTGTGGCCCAACAAAAAGGTAATTAATCAATTAATCACAGTGATTTATTTCCACTCTGTCTCTCTTCCGTGGCCCAAAGATATTCAATGGCTTGACCTTCTGTTCAAATTTAAGAGTTCCTCGTGCTTTTTGTCCAATTCCGTGTGTGCGCGGAGAAAGGGGATTGTGATGGCGTTTCATCAATCTTTGAGGTCTAGAGAGAAGAATACGGATTCTGTTGAGGATGATTTTTCGTCTCTCTTGCAAATAATACCGATGCTGAGATGCTTTTTATTTCATTTCTTCCACGGAGAGATTTGGTGAAAGAACTGGTTTTCTCCACCGAAATCATTTTCAGAGATTAACCAAAGAGATGATGTATTTTTCTAAGCCATTTATGAGCATGATTACTTCCACTGATGCTCTCCGTGTATTAAATCAGAATTTAATAATCACCTTCAAACTCTCTCTCTCTCTCCCTCTCGCTCTTGGGCGTTTCTCTGGAATTGCTCAGAGATGATTTTGTGTAGTCTTTCGACCTACAATGCAAACACACACTGCCAATGGATAAAAACCCATTTAAGTCCTGAAAAGTGAATAGGAAAAAAGTGTCTTCCTAACTTTTCCCACTCCATCTTTTGTCATTGCAGCAAATTGGCGGTTTTCGATGGCAAAAAAGCAATTAGAGGAGGAATTCCATTTGTATTTCGTAAGTTTTCTCAACTCATTTTACTACACACACGAGAGTGTCTCTCTTTTTTTTGTCCCGTGAATCACGCGCGGCAAAAAGTGGCGAGAATGGAGATGCTTCTGAAAGGAGCGCAATGAAGAGAGGAGAAGAAGAAGTGGTCAGTGATTGGAAAAAGAGAGACACTCAATGAAGCATGTCTTGATGACTTTATTCAAATGCCTCTGTCCGTGACTGATTCGCTTCTGTCGCGCCAAACAGCACAATTTGGCCAGTGGACGTTTGGGCCGCAGCACGGATTCGCCAGGATTACGAGATGGGCGCTGGAGAGGGCGCCGGAAAGACTGCCCACCGGAGACGTCGAGGCCGTCTTCAGTCTCATGGACAACGAATTCACGCGCTCAATGTGGAACTATCCGTGAGTAGATTTGGCCAGAGGTCGCAACAGAGGTTTCTGTTTCCCTCAAACTGCGCAAAATTCTACTAGAAATCCTTTGAAGTGTTCTGAGGCGTCGGTGGAAATCTCTTTGAGCTGATCTCTCGATGTTACTTGCAGATTCCGGATCACTTACCGACTGATTCTGCGCGAGAAGGAGCTGCACTTCCACATCGGCGTGTACAACCCGAGCAAGGACCTCACGTTCTCCTTCAACATGCTCCTGCACACGTACTTGAAGGTGCCGGACGTGCGTCGGTGCCAGATCACGGGGCTGCACGGCTGCACGTTCATCGACAAGACACGCGAGAACGCCATTTACCAGGAGGGGCGCGACGTGGTGACCATCAACGAGTGGACAGATCGCATCTACCAGCACACGCCGTCGGAGCACATCATCACGAATGTGGTGTCGGGCCGGAAGATGCGCGTGCAGAAGTACAACTTCCCCGACACGGTGATCTGGAATCCGTGGATGGAGAAGGCGCGCGAAACGCCCGACTTCGGAGACGACGAGTATCCCAACATGCTGTGCGTGGAGTCGGGCCACGTCTCCAGTCCCGTGATCCTGCTGCCCGGCACCGCTTTCGAGGCCAGTCAAGTGCTGCAGGTGAGTTTCTTGCAACTTCTGCTCCGTTTGCCGTGAAGAAGAGACGATTTTACGTCACTGACAAAATTCCCACTCCTTTCACAGGTGAGTTTCGTGAATGGCGTGTCGGGGAAGCGACGCAGCAAAAAGAACCAGAACCAGAACAACGTCGATTTCAGGTAATCCTCCCGGCATCATCACTTTCTTCCGCACGCGAAATCCTCTCTCTCTCTCTCTTGGCATTTTCTCCTCCCCCCAGATTCTCCCCGTCTGTTCCCCGGTTTATAAACTGAGAGGATTTCCCGCCACTGGATAAGTTTTCCTGTCACTCTTTTGTGACAGTTTTATTGCGCGATCAGCATTTCAACAATGGGTTTTTCTTTCTCTTTATCCCCAACTTTGCCCCCGTCTTGGATTCAGAGATGTAAATAAAATATTTTTAGGGAGTAATTTTTAAAAATGGATAAAGAAAAAAAAAACGATAAATAATGGCTTAAAAGTGAATTTAGTCTCTGTGGTAAGTTATTTGTTAAGTTTTTCTTGGAACAATATAATTTCTTGACTTATATTTTTACACACACAAAAGGTTTCTTTAGACACATTTTTTCTGGGTTAGATTTTTTCTATTATGAATTTTGTTGTAAATATATAGAAGGATTTCAGCAAATCTTTCAATCTATTCGATATGTGAAATATATAAAGAAAAAGAAGGAAGACAAGAAGCATTTTTAACGGAAATTCTCTAGAATGGAGAAGAAATATGGAAAATTATGATAAAAGGAAACATACTTAAATGTACTATAAATAATGAAATAATGATGAAAATCAATTAATAATAAAAGAAAATATTGAAAATTCTCTGTCCAATGTATACGATTAGTGAGTTAAAATGCAAAGAAATCAATTATTCGAGGAAATGGGAGGTGAAATGCGAGAAAATAAATGTCTAGGAAGGTTTTTTTTTAGAAGATGAAGTGGAAAATAAGAGGCTGTAAATGCGGAAAATTGTTGACAACACACTTAATAATTCTTTTCAAAGATATCATCATTCCAAAGATGTTTTGTTTAAGAGATGATGCCACACAATTTCTTCAAAAATTCTTGCTTTTTCACGGGTTTTTATTTTATATTCTTTCAAGCATGTTCCAAAATGCGAACATATCACACGATTTTGTGTTTAATTTGACTCTGCAGGTAATCTATTAGTTATTTTTACAATAAATGATTTGTTGCTCAGTGATGAAAAGCCGTTCCATGCCGGCAATTTTCCGGATGGATTCTAAGGGAAAATGTGCAGAAGAACGCAGAATTTTTCTCATTATCTAAATGTAGCAATAAATTTTTCGATCTAAGAAGCGCCAATTCATGATAAACTGTACTTCATTATATAGAAATGATGGTGCAATAATAAATGATGAAAATTTCAACAATTCCCCTGATTTTCAATTCATGTTTTCCGTGCAGCGGGGAAACTTAGTTTTCATGTTCTCCACAGTGAGGCGCGCTTAGCAAAGTGGAGTGAGTTTGAGGTTATGTTGCATCAAAACAAACCCTAATCGTAGGAAATTTCTCCAATTTATTGTGAAAATGAGTGAAAAACGGACAATTTACGTCGGTGGCCTGGCAGAGGAAGTGACAGAGAAGCTCCTGAATGATGCTTTCATCCCGTTCGGGGACTTAATAGACATACAAGTGCCCATTGACTATGAATCTCAGAAGCACCGGGGCTTTGCTTTCATCGAGTACGAGAGTCCGGAAGATGCCGCCGCGGCGATAGACAACATGAACGACTCTGAGCTGTATGGACGCACCATCAGGGTGAACCTAGCCAAGCCGCAGCGCATAAAAGAGGGCAGCAATCGGCCCGTCTGGGCGGAAGATTCGTGGCTCATTAAGCACGCCGGGGCGACGCTAAAGAACACAGATGACGCCCCTGGAGGGCCCCAGGTCGAAGGAGAAACGACTGAGGAAGTGGCCAAGGAGACGAAACCAACAGAAAACAGGAATCCGCAGGTGTACTTCGACATCCGGATAGGGAACAGCGATGCCGGAAGGATAATCATGCTGCTTCGGGCGGATGTAGTGCCCAAGACGGCAGAAAACTTCCGGGCGCTGTGCACGGGCGAGCAGGGATTCGGCTATGCCGGCAGCATATTCCATCGCATCATTCCTGACTTCATGTGCCAGGTGAGAATAAGAGGCTTTGAGAATTACAGTAAGGAGCAAATGTTTAGCATTTTTCCGGGTCTTCGGATGAAAGAATTGTGTCCAATGCTAATTTCGATCAATAACAAATCTGCTTTCCAGAAAAAGTTGCCCTCAAAATAAATGAGTAATTATAGAATACTCGGAATACTCAAAGAAGCCTGATAAGATTAATTCACGTAATTAATCATCCCAACGATCCCAGAGAATTTGTAAACATGATAAGGAATTGTTATCGCCGGTAGTGAAAGCACGAGACTTTCTGCGTAAAAATCAAACTTTTGCTCCTCACTGTAAAATGCGCCTGAAGAATTCCTTTTGACTCTCCGGACAATTCCAGGGCGGCGACTTCACGAACAAAAACGGCACGGGCGGCAAGTCGATCTATGGGCGGAAGTTCGCTGATGAGAACTTCGACCTGAAGCACACGGGCTTCGGGACGCTAAGCATGGCCAACTCGGGGCCCAACACGAATGGCTCGCAGTTCTTCCTCTGCACCACGAAGACGGACTGGCTGAATGGGAAGCACGTGGTGTTCGGGCATGTCATCAGCGGCGCCGATGTGCTGCGCAAGATGGAGAAGTGCGGCAGCAAGGGCGGAGCGCCTACGCAGAAAGTGGCGATCGTGGCGTGTGGAGAACTCAAGTGAGTCCGGTAATAAAATGTCCATTTATTCACTCCTCAAGTCCGGCTGTGCGTCCGGGAGACTTCGTGCCTCCCACTCTATCTGCTGCCCGAGGCCTGACTCTGGCCGCCTGTTGGGGTGTCGTCCTTCTTCTTCTGTTTCTCTCGCATCAGGTCAGCGTCCCTGCAATGAGGCTGCTTTTCAGTGGGGACGGGAATATCAGGCATTCCTCAGCGTGATCAAGTCTCACCTCTGTTTGCGCTGCTCCACCGTCAGTCCGTCAGTCTGGCGCCCCTTCTGCTTTTCGTTTTGCTTCTTCAGATTCTTGGCACGGGCCAAATCTCTCTGATTTCCACCTGAAAAGCATCCGAGATCATCACCTGTCATCCCACCACTTTCCCACTCAAGTTCCGCGCAATCCACGCCGCATCTCTCTGCATACTCACGCGTCATGGTGTCCTGAGGGTGCTAGGGTTGTCTTGGAGGGGCTGTCTTGTCAGTTCCTGCCCGGAAAAGGCTTTTTTCCTCAATTTCTCGACCTCCGCAGAAGTTTCTCGCCCAACAATGGCGAATGTTCCGGAACAGATGTGCGCGCCATCTGTGGCTGAACACGGTTTTTGAAACAAATTGGATTTTATTGAATAATTTTGCGCGATAAATATTCTAACAAGTCAATTTCCACCGCCTCCGGACTGACTGGAGCTGGCGGCGGAATCCTGGCTACTGCTGCCGCCCTGGTCCGTCTCGTCGCACCCTTCGGGCGGCTTGGGCTCCTTGGGTGTCCGCTTCTTCCTCTTCTCCACGTGTCCATAGCAGTGTTCGCACTCGTCCTCGCTCTCGGACGAACTCTCGCCAAAGGTCATCGGTTTGTGATACACGCAGCAGCACTTGGACTTCTTCTTGCCCATGTCCTCATTGTCCACCGTCTCTGAGCCCCACGACACCTTCTTGTCGCTCTTGGGCTTGTGCAGCCGCAGTCGCAGAACGGGCGCTTCCTGGAAGACAGAAGAGTGGAGTTTGATGAGATTAACTATAAGGTAAATATTTACTCTTGGTGTTCTGGTTTCTCTCAGGCTCAAGAACAAATTGATAAGATAAATAGTAGAGCCAAAAAGCAAGAAATTTCACGTTTCTCTGCTTTTATTGACTTGAATTTGTACAAAAGCTAATTTAGAAAAATGCCCTCAAATCACTGGATGACTTTCTTCAGCTTCAAATCTTCAATTTCTTTTGGGCTGTAGCCTAAAATCTCTGCCAGAACCTCATCCGTGTGCTGCCCAAGAGTCGGAGGAGGTGTTCGAACGCTGTTCTGTGCATCGCTGAACACCACTGGCGGTCCCACGACCTTCACAGACCCGGACGCTGGATGAGACACTGTCTTGACCAGGTTTATCGCCTTCACGTGCTCGTCCTCGAAGACTTCCCGGATGGAATTGATGGGGGCGACCGGGAAGGGAGCGTTACTGAAGACTTTCATCCAGTCTGAGGTGCTCTTTTGGCTGAGAATGCCTTCCAGGAGGTCTATGAGTTCCCGCCTGTGCTGCACTCGGAGAGTATTGGTGAGGAACTTGGGATTCTCCGCGATTTCAGGGATGTTCAAGAGGCTGCAGAGTGACTTAAAGTGGGCGTCGCTGCCCGCTCCCAACGTGAGGTAGCCTGAGGTGGTCTTGAAAGCCTGGTAGGGCACGATGGAGGAGTGAGCAGTGCCCCAGCGCTTCGCCTCGATGCCGGCGTTGAGGAAGTTGCCGCCCACGTTGATCAGGCACGAGATTTGGGTAGAAAAGAGGTCCACGTCTATTTTCTGACCTCTTCCGGAGTCTCTCCTAGCCAGCAGGGCGGCCAAAATGGCTCCGTGAGCGTATAATCCAGTCGCGATGTCCGTCATGGGCACGCCCACCTTTGCTGGCGCCCCATCTTCAGCGCCTGTGATGTGACAGAGGCCGCCTTCAGATGCTGCGATCACGTCAAATCCTGGCCTGCTGGCATAAGGTCCTCTGCTGCCATAGCCGGTGATTGAGCAGTAAATCAGGCCCTCGTTGACTTTCTTGAGCGAGTCGTAATCCAATCCAAACTTCTTCAGCTTTCCGGGAACGTAATTCTCCACCAGAACGTCACATTTCCTCGCCAGATCCTCGAAAATACTCCTGCCGAGCTTCATGTCGATGCAGACGCTCCTCTTGTTCCGGTTGGAGGCCATGAAGTACACGGAATCCGGGGAGTTGGCCAGGAACGGTGGACCCCAGTGGCGTGACTCATCTCCCGACCCTGGCTTTTCCACCTTAATCACGTCCGCGCCCAAGTCCGCCAGGATCATTGTGCAGTATGGACCTGCCACTATCCGTGTGAGGTCCAGAATGCGAATCCCCCGGAGAGGAAAGCTCCCAATTTCGGGAGTTCCTTGAGAACAATAACTCTTCACAGCGCAGGGAAATCTCGCAGGAATTCGACACTTTCTCACTAACAACAGCATTTTCACAGTCTTTTAGAACAATAGAGTGTCAGTTGGAGGCCCAAAGGGTTGAAAACTCTCGGAAAACCAGCGGAAAAACAAAAGGGAAACTGAACTAGAGCAAAGTCTTTACCTCTGTGCCATTTGCCGGACGTGCTATCACTTCTGTGGCCGTGACTGTGGGCGCACTCCTCTCCATATTAGCACTTGGTGATGTTGCCATCAAACACACACACTGTAAAGTAATTTTTCTAATGGATTTTCACGAAAAACAACCTCTTCTCACAACTGAAGATTTTTCTACCCCGTCAATTTGTCACGTCAACTATTGTGTTCACCACGAGTGGCGTTGGTGGCGCATTTCACGCGGCCATTTTTGCTCAATGTCGTGCGGATGAGAATTCGTTCTCTAGCAATGTTTTTTGGTTTTTCACACGGAAAATCGTGAGGACACGCAATTTTTCTTATATGAACATCTATCGCGCAATAGAGAGAAGAGATTAAATGTGAAGTACAGTGAGGGCAATGTTTATTTTTTGTTAATTCTACAAGAATCTCTCTGTGCAGAAGCTGCAATATATTTCGAACATTTCACTCATGAAATGTGAAAAATTCTTTTAATTACTATTAGTTTTCTTTCTGAGTTGCATAGATGTGCAAAATAAGTCTAAACTCTATATTAACGACTTGTTCAATATATTGTTCTGCCAAGCCCTGAGTTCAATCAAAATATAGCGCGGAAAATTGTTCTCACTTTGAGCAACTCGCTCTCCCCCATAGTGGTGAGTTTGTCATCTCTCTCTTGCGTGGTGAATAACTCTCTCAGTGGTGTGTTGGTGGCTCTCCTAGCAATGCAGAGATTTTTGAGGTTATCGATCCCTCCATGGAGCTGCATTTCACGGGATTTCCCAAGGAAGCTCCTGTCCGTGCGATCTACAGTGTGGCAAGGGGGCACCCTTAGCAGCTCGACAATGTCAGAGGGCGCCGGGGCGGGCGCCAAAGCTCGGGATTTGGTAAAGTTTCTCGAATTGGTGGGAAATTTAAAGGTAAGTGCTAACTCAAAACAATTATGAAGGTGCTTATTGGCGAATTAGCGCTCTTTCCGGACCACTGACGCCCTAATGACTTGATTGCAGCATCTCAAGAGAACTGGCTGGGTGCTGCGAGACGTTGAAGACTGCGAAACCGTGTCGGCGCATATGTACCGGATGGCGATGGTGACGTTCCTGCTGGACGGCTCAGAGGGCCTGGACAGGCTCAAGTGCATGGAGTTGGCTCTCGTGCACGACCTGGCCGAGTGCACGGTGGGCGACATCACGCCCTACTGCGGAGTGTCACGCGAGGAGAAGAAGAGGCGCGAAATGGAAGCGATGGTGGACATTGAGAAGCTGATCAGTCCGCGAGGAACGCGCATGATGGACCTGTTCCACGAGTACGAGGAGTCCCAGACGCCAGAGTCTCGCTTCATCAAGGACTTGGATCGACTGGACATGGTTCTGCAGGCCTTCGAGTACGAAAAGCGCGACAATTGCGTGGGGAAGCACAAGGAGTTCGTGGATTCCGTGCACGGCAGGAGCCTCCATCCGCTGGTGGGGAGCCTCATCGACGAGATCAAGGCCCAGCGGGCGGCCCTGATGGGCGCCAAGAAGCAGGAGGACTCCAGTTGATCGCGCAATCGACATTCCCATTAGGCTCAATTGACTCACTATTTATTTAGCAGGTTTTTACGGGTTCTCTAGGCGTTTTCCTCGCACTGGGAAATTCTCTCGAAAGGCAGGGTGACCCGAAACACATAGAAATATTATACTAAGAAACATGATGGATACTTAAAATTACTAGAGATGAATTTATTTTTCTCACATTTCAATGGTTTTAATTAGGAAAATACAGCAATATTAAGTGAAGTGAAACATAAAAAATAAGAAATTACTTGTTAATCTATGGAATTTTTCAACAAAAAAACAGAGATTTTCGCGGAATTTGTGAAATTCATACAATTTGTTGTGTGAATGAAATGAAGTTTTTGGACAAACAATATCAGAGAAACAGACAGATAAACAGGCAATTTTCTTGTGAATAACGGCAAATGTTCACACTAGGAAGTGCAATACTTCATCCAAAGATAATTAAACGTTATATTTGAGATGTTTCTGGATGTAATTTTCTTTATTTAATGTCTTGCCTCCGGACTTTTTGCAAAGCAGCAACACTTTATTAGCCTTTAAAGGCTCAACATAGCAATAAAAGGAGGTTAGCTCCGCCCTCTTGAACGCCCCGCCCACTGGCGGAATATTCCTCATTCTTATCTAGTCTTCTGATCTCTTGCAACCAATTAGTGCCTGTAACTAAGTCAGTAGCAGTTTGCAGAACTTGTGCAGTAGAAACTCAGTATTGGTCACCCTGTCGGAGGAGGGAAAAAGTGAGAAAGTAGAAGATGACGAGTGAATAAAGCGCACGAAAGGGCGTAGGAAAAAAAACATAGTTCAATCGATAAAGATATTCCAATTATATTTATTGTAATAGAAGCACAATAACGCGATGAAATAGACGAGATGAACACAATTCTGTCTATTGATGTCTTGAGCGGCCCTGAGACTTCCTGGGAATATCGAATTGTTGAGCCATATTTCGTTTGTTTCAAGTGTAGCTTAAGAAGGATCATTTTCACAAGCAATTTGCACCTCAGCAATCAATGTCAAAGCCAATTTCATGTATATCAATTAAAAGTGATCGCATTTTGAGAGCAAATCTCTCATTTAAATTTCACTTGGCGTCTCGAAAGTCCGTTAATTGTCAGTGCAAAAAATTACTCGCATTTAATTACAACATCTTGTCATTTGAGGTCAAGTCGGCTAATTAATTGTGATATTCAAATCGGACTGACGAAATTAATTAACCCGATGGCAGTGCCACAAGAAGTGGACAAGGTGTCGGTTAATGAACAGCGCGAGAGATCAGAAAGTGCTCTTGTACGGCGAAATTTATGAATTCATGCATTCTTGCGGCCCGGCGAGGGTCCGGGCGGGTGTGGGAGCCAAGCGCACGGTGTATAATTTGCTGTTTGTGTGCCCAACAGGTGTAATTAAATGCGATAAATTTAATAAATAGGTACAAACGTTCATATATCAAAAGTCCAGCCATTCTCGGTTAGTTTGCCGCCCCCCGCGCGTCCCGGCCAATTTCTCTGCCTCTCGTTCACACTCCGGCCGAGAGTCTTAATTTACACGTATTTTTCATTGTTATGATTTATGAGCACTCATTAAATCGTTAAAAATTTTACACTACGGTAGTCACTGGTCGCACACTGTGCACAGCAAAAGTAATATAATTTGTCAGTTTTTCATTGTACGTCTCATTCATATTATACAACCTCCCTCGTGCTCTTTTTCGGTGCTCCGAAAACAGAGAGAGAGCCGCCTAACTTTGAACTGGGGAGACAGAAAAAATATAAATTATTGTCAATTGTCAACAGGAAAAGTTGTAAAAACGAGGCATTTTTTACGCGCGAGCAACAGAAAATTATGCCTTTTGAGTGACACAGAAATTAATTACACCTCGTCTTTTTTTTGCTTGCCCCTTTTTTACCACCCAAAGCCGTGGAATACAAGTGGAAAAATTTGTTTGTCAACAGCAGAGAAGAAGTTTCGAAAAAAATGTGGCTGTCTATCGATTGGAATGGGCGAAATTAATTAATTGCATAAATATTTATGTCAATCGTCGGAACACATGTCAATTAATTTGAAAACAATATTTTTTGCTGTCGAAATATTCCTTCCTCATCGTAAATATGCATAGGGGAAGAGAGGGTCAGATGAGGAGTTTGGAAAAAGCAGTGAAAGTCTTCAGAAATTAGATTTAGTAGCTCTGATATGATTAAAGACAATTAAAAATACTGTTTTGTGCAATAGAAATTGTCAAATTTTCTATCAAGGAAGGATTTTCATGCAGTGTCTATGACTTTCTTAAGCGTAAATACGCGATAGATAAATTAGTAGAAGTGTTTGGTTAAAACAATACTCTAAGAGAAGATTGAGTTCATCTCACCCCGCCTTCCCCTACTCATAGAATATGCAAAAGGCTTGATTTCTGTGACACTCGACGCTATGTGGCGGATTGAGAGTATCAGTTGCAATGAAGCAATTCATAATATTACAGAATACAACTCGTTTAGCAATAAAGTGACATATTAATTAATATTCAGCGACACATTTTACAGCATATAATCGCATTTGAGACTCGATAGAAGTCGAGCTGTCGATTTCCCTAGGCACTCTCACATCACCATAATCTCTCATCTTGACGATCTTGTCCACTTTGATTAATTGATCGCTCGACGCGTAATTGGCGGAAATGGGAAAATAATTGTTGTGCATTTTTATCGGTTCATTTTCTATTTGATTTTCCACGAAAGCGCCTCGGGTTGAGTGAGAGAAAAATGAACGCGATCGATTAGTGAATTTGCATAAAAGATTCGATATGGAAATTGATTCAGATCTGCAGGTTTTGCTGTAATTTGTGGCATTACGCAATGCGTCAAGCAGATGTCAAATACTCGATCACGAGCTTGCTCAACACTCCACCCGGAACATCAGAAATGCGATGGAGAAATTGATGACAATCAATTTGTGTTGGGAAGAGAGCATCGCTGGGCGGCAGAAGAAGAAACTAATCAAGACCATTTTGAGCAGTACGAAGCATGCTAGAAATGGCCGAGAGCGATGTAGAAAGAAAACACTGATTTATATCCATTGAGCATTGCCTTATTAAGTGATTAACACTCGTCTCAGCAATTTATATCTCCCCGGGCAACTCTGCTGCAGCCCCAAAATGATAAATTACTCTCTGATTCACCGCAAACAAACGAGTTCACGACGTCTGAGGCAAATGGCATTATTAGCATGCTTTCACTCCTTGCAATTTGTTGCACAACGCGTGAATATTTAATTTCAAATTGGACGTATTAATTGTGATTTATGGCACATCAATCCGTCAATTTGCCCAATTAAGCTGCACGGCTTAATAGCGCCTCGAAATCCGTGAATTGATCCATTATATCGTTTCCTCAATCTCCAAATGGGGGCCAATTTGCACAAAAATGCACAACATTTGTGGAAATTTTCATATTCTCGCACCTCTTCAAATTCAATATACGAAAAGCGACTATCTTTTATGATGCCCGGAAACATCAGATACGCAGTGATTTGTTATAGAGCAAAAAAACAACTCTCATGATCTTTTTTCTCTGAGCACAGCTTGAATTATTCATCGGAAAGTCAAGTCGTTTGAAATGAAATAGCGCTGAAAAGCATGATATGAATCGGGTGAAGAAGCTACAAATTGATTTAATTAAAATCTTTTCATGTGTTTCATCTCTTTGTGTGGTGAAAGATATCGTTTTGCGAGCGAACGTATGGAAAAGGCGTTGAATTTGGACATTTGACAGTTGATTTAATGTCAAAATGACAAGGTGCACTTGGCGGGAAATTCAAACTGAAGCTGAGACAAATGAGTGCACAGATGAAAACGGAACGTGTTCGGTGAATTTCTGAAAAGGAAATTCCCATCTATTGCGCTCGTCATGCCATCCGTGGCAAGAAATCACGGAGAAGCTTGGAAATCTATCTAGTCAATTGAGTGGATGGCTAATGATTTATGACACCGACAATGCGAATTGGACATCTCAATTGGCGGCCAGCGATATTTTCCTCTCTCGAGATTGCTGATTATGTAAGGCACAAGAAGTGCTGCCATGGATGAGCCGCCATTTATGGGCAAAAGACATCGCCTGAATCGGACTCACGGCTCTGCATCTGCACCCGTTTGATGTGCGAAATCGTCAGCCACAAACACCATAAAGTGGAAAGTTAATTGATTTTTTCGCTGGCCTCGCGAGCACAAGACAGGGAAAAATGAAGAAAATGGCATCTGTCAGGCCGATTTATGGTATTTCAGCTCAATCTTGACACTTTATAGACTCCGCACAATCTTGGGCTTGAAGATTTGAAAGCCACCTTGTGCCGATGGGCTTTAATTGAATCCAGAATGCAATGAGAGAGATATGATGTTTCATTCACATTGTGAAAATTTCAAGACTTCACTGCGAAAACATGCTGTATTCTTCTGTATTTCAATTGATAAAGGATGTTCCTTTTTATCTTTTCATCTATTTATTAATGCTATTGAATTGATCCATGTATGCTGATACAGTGTATCAGCAACATTTTAAAAGAATAAATTATTTTGGGGTTAAACGATAAATACGATGAATTAATAAAAATTCATAGCATTTTATTAGCATTTTTAATAATAATAAATGTATTGTTGAAATCCAATTATATTTTAAGTGTCGATTGAATAGCGCTGGCAACGAATTACCGCGCACTATTAAACCTCCTTCAATATAATGTTATCCCAGCATTTATGGACATTTCGGGAGCATTCATAGCATAAAAATGTTCCGTAGGGCAACACTAATCACGCCTCATTAGTGACAATTTGCATAAATCAGCATATCTCTCTTCTCACCTCCATGTTTTGAGCGCATAAAAGTGGCAATAATTGCCTTTAAAATTCGATTTTCACCAGTTTTTCCCGCCGCACATGCAAAAAGTGTTTCAAATATACAATGTTGTTAAAATCACGAGTGGCAATTTTTTTTATACTGTGCAAAAGCCAAGCCAAATGGGAGAGAAAATGAACAAACACACATTTCCAGTGGAAATAACACGCAATAATTAATATATTTTACACGGGTTATTTTTGTATGCATGTATATATATTTTGTAAAATGTGCCATTTAACCGCACCATAACACAATTTGATTTACGAACAACACACATAATAATTTGCATAATGCATTCATTTAGCAATAATTACTTAAACGAGCTCATATGACACCGAAACTCGTTGAAATTAACACAATTTTATATTTTTATGGCTCATTAAAATAAATTGATTGGCACACAACATAATTACATATTATGGTTGAATAGCAACAAATGCATGGACCCAATAGCCAAAAGCCCTTTGATGAGCACAACCCTTTAAGAGGATTGCGAATTTATGCACAATTGCCAAATATATTAATCCACGCGTTGGGGATGTTTGTTTCATTAAAAATAATCATCTCTGCACAGCTCACGTGGGATTAGCATTAAACCTGGTGACGGGCAATTATTTTAGGGCTCAAGAAGTGAAAATGTCAATTGCATTAATACCAACAAATGTCCCATCAATTGCATTTGAGAGTGCAAGGAGATGTGACTAATTTAGTGGGACTGTAAAAGCCACACATAAAATTTAACTGCCATTTGCCTTAATTTGCAGCTGTGCCTAATTGTTAAGTAAATCATCGGAGAAATACTCACAAGATAGAGGTTATTTGCAGTTCAGTGTCATAAAACTGCATCTAATTGACTTGGAATAAATGTTGTTTTACGGTGGAGTGATAAAACCATGTGAATTTATTGTAAAAATCAGTTGGAGATTTTTTTTCCTCGCCAAGGGATGATTTTCATGTGGCACAGATGATCGCAAAAAATTATTCATTGGAGAATAAATCCAAGTGACGATGGCAAAAGTCAAATTCATGATTAGTCGGAGGATAAATCATGAGAAAGGTCGCTCGGGTCATCAATGGCAAATGTATTACAAATAGTTGACCTCGAGTGAAAGATTTCCTCTTCTGAAAATACCCTGCAGAATGCATCGATTTCACATG